CTTATTCTCTAGTGTAGCTCTCAACCCTTTTAGGTTTTAGGCTCTTCTGGAACTAGCTGTGACTTCTGTGTTTTCAGTAAGGCCCAATGGGTTTCTCATTCATGAAACAGCCCAATCGTCTTTTAAGCATGTGCTTAATTAAGTCTTCCTGACCCCTTCTTACTTTGTTTTTAATCACTACGTCTGTCAACATAATTCAAGATTGGTATGTTCCAACTGAACTACTAAATGTAACATTCTTTTCTACCAAATATTTTGCCATTTTATTTAATTGTATTTTTCTGACTGGGATGATTCACAAGCCAATTATTTTAGTAAGTTAACAGTAAATAAACCTTTGACCCTTTTGCACTGCTGTAGTTTGGGGGAGCCTCTGGCTTTTGTTGCCACAAGTTTATGAAGAATATATTTATCGATTAACATGTAAAAGGTCGGGTTAGAGGAACTAAGCACAATTACTAAATTTGGATTGTGAAGGGAGTTATTTTGGCAGATTATCATATTATTACTGAATATTAATATCTTGGCCCATTTTAAGTTGACATACCCTTTGCTTTTAGAATGGCCATAATTTTCTTCCAAGTAATAAACACCAGACCCTTCTTTCTATGGTATTGTTTTTTAAAATGCTATTTTAAAGGATTTAAGTTGTAAATCAGGGATTTGGAGGTTGTAGAAAGAGTGAGTTATGTAAAGTTGGATAAAGTTGCTCTTTCTTTCTCTATATGTTGTTAATCCTGTGTTGAATTTGATTGTGGGGAAATTACCTCAATGCAATTTAAGAGTCTAAAATGTTGGTAAGGTTCATGAAAATGTCAGGAGGGTGCATTCATCTTTAAACCCACAAACGTCAAGCCTGATATCCTCTTTGTTATACATACATTAGATTTTTTCACATAGTTTTGAAAGGGTTTAGAGTAAAAATTTACTAAGAAACTTGCAAGTTTTAATAATTGTAATTTAGTTAAAGAACTGTTGGTAGCTATTTTGTTATGTGTAATCTTTAAGGTTATGCATTTTTGTGGGTATGTAATAGCTTTGAATTAAAAAAAAATAAATTTAATTATTCTTAGTAGGGTTTTTTTGTGTGTGTTTTTTTGTTTGTTGTTTTTTACCTTTTACAAGAAAGGCTTTTTTCCTGTAGAAATTAAGAGATTGAAAATCTGAATATTTTCAAACAAATCGTTTTTTCAGACCAAATACATAATACTTATTTAAGCTGAGTAAGAAAATTACTTGCTTTACTAAGTGTTAAAAGGCTCCTTAAAGTATTTCGAATACAGCTGGCATGATCTCTAACATAAAGCTGAGGGCCCACCAGGTGGTGCTGATGGAATATATTTAGTGTTGGTTTAGCTACTTAAAATGTGTCTTAACAAATGTGAATGAGATGAGTGCAGTATAGGAAAACATAGTTTCTGTGCAACAAGCTTGTTTGTACCATTAAAAAGAGTACATTGTAATATTGTGTAGTGGCTTTGTGAGTTGGGCACTTTTAATTTTTAGAAGTTGGATATAGATGCTGAGGAAAAAAACCTTATGTGGGATGTCTGATGTGGGAAGCAGACAGTATGGAGGCATAGTCCCAGACTCTTTACCTGTTTTGCTTTTTGTTTTTTTTTTTAAAAACTTCAGGGAGTAGAAGCGTATCGTATCATAACCATGTGCTTATTTACCTACTACATATTGACTTTAAAAATAGCTGTTTAATAATGGTGTTACTGTTTGCATTTTGGTCAGCACAAGGATCTTTCCTCTGACACGATGCACAGAAATAAGGGTCTCATGAGGGGTGGAGGAGTCAAGTTTTTCAGGTTTTCTATATTATGTGACTTACAAAGTTGAAATAGAAACAAATACTGAAGATACACAGGGGTTTAGATACAATTTCTCCAACTCTTATGAAGCCTTCAGTTTGGCGCTCTTGAAAAATATATCCTTAATTAAAAGGGGGAGATTGAAGAACAATGTGGACTGTGCAGTAGTTAGAAATAAATTTCTGTTGCCTACTCATTTGAACAGATTTGGTTTTGTCTTAATATACCTTATATAAGTGTAGTATTTGAAAGGCATGATGCAGAGCATTTTGTAACATTGAATTAGCTTAAATTGTCCTATAAATCATCTGCCTTTTCAAGAGCATTATCAGAATTGGGAAATAAACCAAAATGTCAGTGAACCAAAGTGATTGTCTCCTTTCTAGTCAAAAAATAAAATCCAGAACAACTGCTGACAATCCCCAAACCTATTTTGCTTGTTATCTTAGTGTTTTGACCAAACTATATGTTTTAGCACCATATGTGCCAGTGTCACATTAGTAACCACCTCACTGTAGGTAAAAACAAGCTAAATCAAACCATATGACAGCCAGTAATAGTTCTGTAAAAGTTTGGATTTGACCATGGTTAAATGAATCAGAGGGTGGTTTCTTTGGAGTTTGTGGCCTTATGCGTTTAATCTGGGTAACAAATTTATTTAATATCTGGGTTTTACTGTCTTGGGTGCAGCAGTTATGGGGTTCTGCCTGAGTGAAAATTCTTCATCCCCTTTTCCATGCCTGCCACACCAAATACTTCATAGAATAACTGCATGCATCTACAACACCATCTCAGAGTGGTTGTCAAGTATCCAGTGTATGCTGCTTCTGAAAGTGCTTTTTAGATCTTGTTCTCTTGCTTAAAATAATTCTTTCACTTGACTTCCCCTCTTCTCCTTGTCCCAGTGTGTAAATGTTTTTACTCTTGAGGAAAGGAAATGTGCTTTTTTCCAAATGTTTCTGTCTCCCATACCAAGTTTTAATTTTATTTATTCATTTTAGCAAGTTTTTGTGCTACCTACCTTAAAATTTGGCACCATTCACATGTTACCACAGAATGACAGTGTTATTGCAATCCCTCTGCTTCTGCAAATTGGCAGTGTAGCATTAATGAGAATCAATAAAATGTCAAGTGTGTTAAAATTCCCATCTAGGTCACATTGGTTTTTTTGACTGCACAAAATACTGGGAAGGGATCAAGAAAAAAGCTGTATGCAGTAGTACAGTTTATAGTACAGCACTGTAAAAATGCGTGCGAAACACTGTTGTGGGGGTTTTAATTTTTGTGGGTTTTTTTTTCTTTTTTTAATATAAGTGTTTTATCGGTGTGCTAAATGTAGAACTTGCGTGAGAGGTAACTTTTGCAATCTGGTTGAATACGAAGATTGAAGAGCGATTAGTGAAAAGCTGTTAGAAGTGTGTGCTAACATGTGTGGTTTTTTGGAAGCAATATCCAAAAAGGGAGAGCTTGCCAGATGCTGCCTTTATAAGGTGCAAACAGGTTAAGAAATATGTTCTGCTGCATTGTTCTTTAAACTACCCGTTCATCAGAAAAATCAGTTTTATTAGTCTTCTGTCAACATCTTTGTTAGGTTTTTGTGATATGATCTTATTTCTGAACTCTGTGATGTGAATGTTTTATGAACGTCATTTATGGTGAAGGAATGCTCATAATACTGAATCGTTTTAAAAGATCATGTAAATAGTTTCATTTTCACTTGCCCTGTTCAGCTGGTCTGAGGATTTTTTTGCTCTGTTAAACTAGTTGTTGGAATGGGTCTGGAGTTACACTAATACTAAAGAGAACAGGATTTTATTCTCTGTGTTTATTGAAAGATCCAGTCTGATTGTAATATTGAAATGCTCTTTTGAGTAACTTTAAAATCTGTCTTGTGTGCACAGCACTTCACCAAATTCCAGTTTTCATTAGTGAGGGGGGGGAATCTGCACAAACAACAGTACGAAAGTCTTACCTTTTGTATCTGCATTTTACACTATTTACTGTTACTGTGCTCAAAACATTGAATGGGAATGTATTTTACCTCTGAGTTGTTCTCTAGCTTTTCCTAAAGGGACTGGCGTCTAAGTATCAATTTCTTTATTTAGATATTCAACCTACTAAATGTTCTTAAAAGGAAAATTTATAGTCCAATTTTAAAACAATATAAAGCAAGTTAGGGTTTTTACTGAAACGTCTGTTTCTTAAGGGTGATGATTTCTCTCCTTGTGACAAAGATTAGGTTATTCTAAGAGTGGCATAGTAAAAGTAAAAATAGTTCTGAAACTGATAGTATTAACTTCCAGTGCATTAGCTGTATGATGTTGTAATTATCAACCTGAAATTCAAGTTCTACTGAAGTTATTCGAAGAAATATACTCTTGATTCAGTGGGGTCAGAATTTCACAGCTGAAAACAACTTACACTGCAAAGCTGGATTGCTGTTTTCTCTTGAGTGGAACTAGGGCACTCGAGGGTTTTTTAATTATGTGCCGTGATTTGAATTGGTGAGTTTATCATCATTACTGGGTGAGTTTGAGGTGTGCGGTAGATACATGAACCGTAGCTTAAGTTACTGAAGACATGCAGTCTGTGTTTTTCTTTGGGGATGGCAGTGAGAGCGGGGAGAAGACGGTATGAAATGCCGCTGAGGAGCGAGCTGCAGCTCTGTGGCTCAGTCTGCGTCAAGTTGGGGTTTTTTGAGTGTTTTAGGCAGCTGGCTTGAGACAATGTGTGTGCATGCTCATGACTTGGATTCATGTAATTGTTTATTGTGGAACTTTAGAATGTAGGTGTTTTTGATGAAATAATCAGGTAGGCTTTTTTATGTTTATAAAAGCTGGTTTGCCTGTTTACTTGTGGTAACCCTTGTTTCTTGTGTTCATTTTCTCTTCTGTAAAGATTGATACAGGGGCTGATATTATGTAAAGTCTGTATTTATAATAGGGCCAGAATTGAAAAAGAATAAATGTTGCAGATCAGAGAGGGGTATTCTGACTTAAATGGAGATCTTTTCCTTTCTACTGTCTTACTTTTGTAAGTATTTGGTTGATTCAAGATATTTTTAAAACATGAGGTGAGGCTTTAAAAAAAAATCCCAAACATTCACTTAAATCACTTAAAAAGTCTTTCAGTTGTGTTATTCAGTTGTATGGTGTTTTGATTATTTGCCACTTTATTTTTCAGCATTGTCAGTGAAGCAGGAGCATCTATCTACAGCGTCAGTCCAGAAGCATGTAAGGAAATGCCAGACCTAGACCCTAACCTGAGAAGTGCAGGTATGAAGAATATTTCTTTTTATCACCTTTCAACATGGAGCTCAAGTCTCAGTTCTCAGATTGTATTGTTTATAATATTAAGTATAATAATAGTCAAAAGTAGAAAAAGTTTTGGTTGTTTTGTTTCTAAACTTTAATTTATCTGTGTTTCACATTTGAAGCCCTAGGTATGCAAATTAATGACATCATCTTCTAATGCCTGTAAAGTAAAGATCCTTGTGGATATATTGCTTCAACAGCCTGGCACAGGAGAATTTATAGCAATTAATATAAACAGTGAATTGCACAAACTTTCATAGCTCCACCTGTCCATGCCCACGGGAACTAGACCTTTCCTCTCTTCTCTTGTCCTCTGTGTGCACACAAATGTCTCTAGAAACAATTAGACTATTCAAGGGCTAGGAAAAAATATAGGAATAGAACAGATTATTTAAAGGTGTGTATCCGTTGTGATCACAGGAGTCTTCATGTAGCTGAATACAGTCCTCAAGAAATACTGTTTAGTTTTAGTTTTTAAAAAATTATTTACTTTAGCATAAATGTCACTGAGGTATAATACCGCTCAAGTTCTTAGGAATGTGCAAGTGTAGCCACTATTATAATTTTCAGTGTTTGGTTAAACAGTAGTCATTAATGATCAAATTCCTGGCAGTTTTGTCAGTGTCCAAATTCTACTTATGGATTTGGTTTACTGGGAGACAGCTATAAGGGTAGGTTTGAGATTACTTTTGGATTACTTCATTTATGCGTTTTTGTGTGTCTTTTTGCATTTGTTTTTACTTACCTACCTTTTTTTTATTCTTGGTTTTTCTGCAATTTGCTCTCATTCTCAATCAAATATAGCATATTGGAAAATGCAGCAACACTAATACATGAGTCTTTTCCAGTCAAAATTATAAGGATCTTAATTTTAACATTGTTCTAACAAGTTACTGGCCTGGAAATCCTTTGGAGGGTGTAGAAGTAGTTTAGCAGAAAACAATTGTGTAGTTATGTGGTATTCAGAGGTAAAACTTTCTAGAATTCCCCATGTTCCCCTTTCCTTTTATTTCCACAAAGGGTAAAAAGTGTTAACTCAGTGTTTCAAGTGAATGTTTTTACAGGAATGTTCTTGAAATGTTTTTATCATTTGCAAGACAGGCCTCTAGGTTCTTTTTGCTTGACTCTTTTTCCTGAGTGCGAACAGACTCCATTATGATTATTTCTTCCCTGGGCCACAGAGGTTTTGAATGTGTCATGGTATGGCCAGGGCAAATATTAGGCATGTGATGTTTCTGTGTTTGTGACAGATGGCACTAGCTTTCCCTTGGGCCAAAGTTTTTTATGTTGCTGATTTATTAAATGTGGGTTTAGAGTTGATGGAAATGAACAAAATAACACTGAAAAGAATGGAATCTAATTACTAACATTATGCTTTTCCAGATATACATGATTTTCCTTTTCTCTGAAGTTATTTTTCAATATTTCAAACACTTTTATTTTGTGTTGTGCATCAAGTACAGTAAATGAAACTAAAATTTTTAATACATGACCAATTTCAGTATTAATTACCTAGAGTTCATAATTTCTCCATTATTACTAGGATTTGCTTCAGGCATAACCTAAGTGCTGTTGCATCTGGTTTGAAAAGCATCAGCAATTTTAAAGCCGTAGCAGTCCCACAGAATGGATAGAAACTTGAAAAAAGAGTGGGGTAGAAAGTGCAAAATAATTGCTTAGTTCCATGGATGTTGGCTGGTATAAAGGTGACAGCTAGAACTATATTTATTACACTTGAGTCTTTCTAGAAGTTACAGATTTGCTTCCCGATGTCTTCTGGTGTCAAATTTTAATTAGTTGTGCTAAAGCTGTGCATGTTTTCTTAAAGTTGAATGTAAAAATGTGACATAACATTCAAGGAAAGCATTAACTGATGTTTGAGGGTTTTTTTACAAACTTTTTTCTTGACTAGTGTTTACTTTTCAAGTTTTCATTTTCCTTTAATTTGCAGCAAACAAAAAAGTGACATTGTGTCAAAGCTGACTTGCTTTTTATTTTAATTGTTGTGTTACATCATGTCAGATTCTGTGCTTACATGATAGCATTTAGTACATTAAGGGAAGCTGACAGCTGCATGATGAAGTGTGACATTTATAGTTAAAATAAGAGGTACAACTGACGTGAGATATCTGTGATCTTAACGCTGTTTGCCACTTTAACATTTTACTCAACGCCAACTTTATGGAAGGGTTTGGGTTTGTTTTGATTTGCACAGGTAGGCCGATGTTTGTCCATTGGGTACATAAATGTGAAATATTAAATAATGCATATTATGTGTCATACTTGCAGTGGTGCTTAGTGACTATTTGCAGTACATTTTCACTGCATACAGAGAAATAGAAGACATCGGTCATGATAAAAATTAGCTTATTAATTTCTCCTTGGCTGAGTGTTCTATATAGGGGAAAATCAACAACCTTCAACATTTCTTGTGGGTGCTAATTTAAGGTATTAGTTAATCCAAGAACTCAACTGGTTATTTTTTTTTTCCTTTGAACTGTCTTTGAAGGTCATGGATCATGTGGGTTAGTAATAAATTGAGAAAAATCTCATTTTAAACTAATGATGTATATATAAACTACAGTGGAAAGTCTTTATGGTCATCCATAAAGCACTTTTAGCCAAAATCGCACTTACTTGGAAGAAAAAAAAGAAAAAAAAATTGCTCTTTTCTTAAACAATTTGCTGTTACGTACAGTGCAGTGAATGAATAGGGTCTTCCCAACTTTAGAATTGTCCTGAATATTTCATGAAAGTGCAGAAGCTTCTGTTCTACTACTCCAATTCCTATAAAATGTCGTGGAGTGGAACTCAGCTAAGTAAGTAAGATAGTAAGTTAAGTAATACTTAGGCTACGTAAGATAGTAAAGAACTTGATGAAACCTAGTTACTTGTGTTTGAGTAGAGTGAGAAGCTATATATTTGCTTCTGACAGTCATTGTAGGATTAATGAGCAGAACAGCTATTTCTCAGCCCCACAGAATTAGGAGATAAGAGGCTTATAGGCCAGAGCAATAAAAGGATTTCCTCCTTGATAGGCTGAGGAAGTTGAGCTGCAGCAGATTAGGAGGGTTCTGCCTAGAGAGGAAGCCACTGGAGTTCAGTAATAGGTGTTTGGATGAACCTGTGATAGGGTTTGCAGTCTGACAGAGAAGAGAACGCAAGATTTCCATGAATTCTCCTTCCCAAAAGCTGTGCCTACAGACAGACTTAAGATCGGGGTGGAAGTTTTTAGGGGAGAGTGGGCACCATAAATAGAGTACTTTACACGCTGAAGTGTTGATCACCTTTGTGAAAATTATGTTTTATGAAAGCCCGATCAAGGCTTTTTGAGTGCCTGCTCTGAGGCTGTAATGAGGTAATAGTAATGAGGGAGCTTGCAAGACTGAGTGGTTGACTGCAGTTCTGTTTCTGCTCTGGTCACCCACTTGGAGAAGTAGTTAAATGTTTAATTTGGTGGAGTTTTTATAAAGCTGTCAAATTCCTATTTATTTGGCTGCGCTGTTCATTTGTTGGAGCCCTTTTTTTTATTTTTAATAATTTATTTTCTTAGCTACCATCAGTACAACACTTCATGTTTAACCTTTGGTTAGTTTTTATTCATGACAGCTTCAAGTAAGAGTTATGCACTTGAACTTGTCCATAAGATGATCTGGGTTACTTTAGGTCTCTGTGATTGAGACTTGCTTGTGCCTTTTTTAAGTGCAAGGCCAGGATGCAAGTTTCCATTTAAAGGACTTGTAACAGTTCACTGGGTATGGTACTTTGCCTTGTAAATTTACCAGTAGTTTGCTTGCTGTTAGTTATCTTTCATTATTAGAGTGCATGAGATGACTGTCTTGATGTGGTATTCTTTGTATAAGAAAAAAAGCTAAACTCAGTGGTGACAAGCATTCCTCCCTCAAATAAATGGACTCCGTGACAATCAGCGCTCACCTTTCTCGGTTGATGTCATTGGGCCTGTGAACTCTGGAATTAAATGATTTTGCAAAGGTTGATATCTTCTTTGCTTTACCTCCCTCCTGTCCTATATAGTTTTACCTAAGAGTTTATTTTGTTGTACAGAGCCTGTATTCCTCACAAAAATAAGGTTTATGAGATGAGAATTAAAGGTGTCAACACACAGACGTTGCCGGGTGTCTTTCTGGTTTTTTTCTCTCAGCGCTTCTCCACTTCTACACTTCACTGTTGCAAATGCTTGTTGTCTTGAGCAAGTTGGAATAGACAGAAATGGAAGGCCATGGAGGGACAAGTGAAGTATATAGAAAGTGTCAGCGTGTATGAATAGTGTTGAAGGAGTGGCATACAGAAATATGGAATTTATGTACCTTCTGGATGCCTGGAAACTTGACAAGGTATGGTCAGCTAGCAAAGGTTTTGTTGTCCTTAGTATGAGGAAGATGCACCAATTGTTTGGCTTGTGCTCACAACAGATTTTTTACTTCTGCCTCCTCTTCACCTCTTGAAGTGGATAGCATAACGAAATGAACGTTGTGTAATGACTAAGAATCGGAGGAAACTGATGAATTCTGGTGAAACAGGGGCCTGATGATAGAGAATTGCTACGAGGCAGTAGCCATGCTAGGATTTTACTCTGGTTTTGATATACACTCAGTTATATTAAACGAGAAATGTCTTCATTTAATTAAATAATGAATTATCTTTCCTTTTGAGGTGAATACTCTAACAAATTAGCAGTCTTTTCTTTCTTTCACTGTTTAAAAAGCAAAATAAAAGCTGAAATAAGAGCAATGTATTTGGGCTTGCCTAATGCAACATCTCCAAAAAATGCTCATTTTCCTCTTGAACATGAAGGACTGGGGTCCTCTATCAAGACCACATAGCTGTGCCACCCAGTTAGGAAAGCAACAAATGTAGATAAAATATTCCCCAGAGCTACTTTTTTGTAAAAATTTGAAGAACTATGAGGGCAAGCATGTGTCTCGTGCTGCATGCACAGG